TCCATCATATCCCTATCCCCCAGCTTGCTAGAAACTTCAGGGAGTTTCTCCTGGGCTGAGATCCAGGACTTGCATCTTGGCTGAACCAAGTTATCTCACTCCTTCACTTTCTGTTATTTGTTATATATTCTCCTTTACATACCTTCTCTAATTTCTGTTTTGCTAAGGTTTGGATAAATGGGTTTCTTTGCTATTTGCTATGTGTGCTTATTGTGGAACTGGTATTCGGTGGGAAAATGGTCAAACCTTGAATATAGAGCTTGGGGTCTTGTTGTTGAGTTGTGTCTAACTCTTCATGACCCCATTTGGGGTCTTCTTGGCAAAAATACTGGAGTGGTTTGCCATTTACCTCTCCAGCTCACTTTACAGATAAGGAAACTGAGGCAAACAGGGTTAAGTGACTTGCCCAGGGTCACACAGCTAATAAATGCCTGAGGCCAGATTTGAGCTCAGGAAGAAGAGTCTTCCTGACTCCAGGCCTGGCAGCCTATCCACTTCAACACCTAGCTGCCCCACTGGGGGCCTTCCCCTGCCCCAAACGATGACAAAGCGATCAGAAATTAGATTGAAACTGGTCATATCCCCCACCTAAATGAATAAGGGAGCAGATATAATTCTAGGAGAGCAAGGTGGCCTCCAAACCCAACATCCTGGTAGGAATTAAAATCTCCCTTGGGGAAGGGTTGGAAAAGAAGCTAAAGATGTCTATTCTGCCTCCCTTCCAGCCACACAATGTGATAGGCCTTGCAATATGTAGGCTTCTCTGCATGTGTGAGGCCCACTTCACTCTATCCCTAGGAATATAATTTTTGCTCACTTTTGCAAGATTTTGTAGGAGTTGAGGATTGTAGCATTTTTGTCTTCTAAAAACTGGGTCAATTTACTTTCTCTCTTATGCTTCAGAAAGTTTTTTTTTCCAGAATCAGGCCATTGTGTTTCAAATAAGGATACTTGACTATGCCTGTGGACCCTAACTGCCTCAGACTATTATTGACTGCCTGATAAAAGCCTGCTTCCTCTTATTAGGGTTGTAAGGCTAATTACTTAGATTTTGATAGCTTGAAATGAGTTTTTAGGTTTTTACAGTCTGGCTTCTGTTTTTTGTTTGTATGCTAATAATTTTTGGTGGGAAAACACCAGGATTTCCCCCTACCACACTGATTTTTATTGTTGTTATGGGGAATCCCAAGGCCTTCTTCTTTTGTCTCAATTCTTACCTAGCCCTAAGAGATTGGACATTACCTCAGGCAAGGAAAATTTTGCTTTAGGAAGAAAGTTTTTTGTAATTTCTGTGGTCAGTCTTATTTCAAAAGTGGAGTTTTATTTATTATATCATTATTATTATATCCTGATCATGTATACATACATATACATATGTATGTATGTTGGGGTGCTTGGGTGCTTATGCTTGGGTGCTTGTACTTGGGCCCCAATTTCTCCCTAGCCTCAGAAACACTGTCCCTTGATAATCATTTAAGATCAATTGAGCCCCAATAAGGGCCAAAAACCTAAACTAATCTTTTTCTCTCTGAGTGAACTAAAAACACCCCTTCCTGTGTCAGCAAATTCCAGGACCAGATAGAGCTGATCAGTATTCTTCCTGTTTGTTATCCCCGGGCCCAGGATGTCTGGGACCAGATACTCTCTTGAATAATGGGACTTTACTTATCTTGAGTTTCAATTGAGAACTGACCACTCCTTAACCACTCCCTAATCCCACCCTGAATCCCCTAGTTAGCGTATTTGACATATGTTTTATTGCATTTTATCCTATATAAAGTTTACCAGTACCTCTCTAAGGTTGCAGGATCCTTTAAGAATCCTTGCCGGCTGAAAAGTGTAATGATAAATCTTTGCCACCTTGAATTAAAGAATGCTTGAGTCTGTGAATTCATTCCAGACGACCCGTCCTGTACTCCGGTCTTTGAGGGGTCACAACCTCTAAACCTCTCAGCCCGCAACATACACACACACACACACACACACACACACACACATATATTATATATATATGTATATATACATACACATATATATGTATATATGTATATGTACACACACACACACATAGTGTGTGTGTGTGTGTGTGTGTGTAAGTAGGTGAATTTTAGTGTGTATAAGGTGGATTTTTGTTATTCTTTCTTAGAGTCTTCTTTCCCAGGATCCATAGCCTTAACAATCTCCACTTTGCAGGTGTCAGAGATGAGGTTCTCACGATCATGGTTGAAAACAGTTTCTACTGAGCAGTCACAGTAGATATAGGGATGAAGTAATGTAAAATTGTGAGACTATTGTTGGCAATGTACCTTCTTTGTCTGTTGCCCTATAAAGGAAGTGGGCACTGGTCAGTGACTGCGGACCTCCTTAGGGGTGAAATGTGCAGGCTGGAATGCTGTGGATGCCTTGATCGGCCCCCATCAAGGCTTGGGAGGGGGAATCTATGTGTTTGCCTCAATCGGCCCCCATTGAGGCTTGAGGGAACTTAGGGGAGTGTACAAGTTGTGCCTGTCTTGATTGACCCCATCAAGATGAGGGCTACTTGCTCCCCCTTCACGCCAGCCCCTGCGACAAGGGCTGTTAGGGAATTCTGTAGGAGTTGGAGCTCCCACTATCAGCAAACTCCCTTTGAGAAGACTAGACTAGAATAAAGTGAGCTTACTTAACCCCTTATTATGACTCCATTCCTGTCTTCCTGTCTGACCCGACCAAAAGTGAAACTACTAGTGAGAGAGGTGCTAGAAGCCCTCCTGTGTCTCCTACATAAGAAATGGCACAGTCAGTGTATTTACTTGTCTAACAATACATACATACGTACATAGATAAATAAATATATATATATATATATGTAGATGTATTTTTTTTCCAATGTAATTTCATATCTGCATATTGGGGTTTTTTTTGGAGGTGTAACAAAGTTATCCTGGCTTGGCTGTTATGCAATTGCTGCATTAATTAATATGATATGTTTCTTAAAAGTCTGAATGCTACTGAATGTATAATTATTTGCTATCAATGTATCATTGATACATATGTTAAAAGAAATCTTTTAAGTTCAAGCCTCACTCTGGTTAATAAGGCAAACTTATGGGGGGAAAAGCCAAAGTATTTTATTAACACATCAACGCAGCAAGTGGTTTATCAACCTGAAATAAGAAGACTACCAAAGGAGCTAAAACTAGAACCTTTATGGAGGCAAGGGAATTATAATTTGGCATCAGAGTGCCTAAGATGGGCAGAGTAGGGGCAGAAATAAATACATTTCAACTGGGAGAAAGTCTCAACCTCCAGAAGCTGTTACATAAGTTGCTTTGCAAAACAACCCAAAGTCCATAGAAAAGGGTGGCTTAGGAGTGGCTACATCTGGTCCGACCTGTGGGCTCCTTTTTCTTTCATCTTTTCTTTTTTCAGTTGGTTTCTATAGTCCTCCTTTATTTGGCTTTGATCACCCTCAGGTACTTTGCAGCTCTGGGGTCAGGCAAGGTCAGCTACCTTCAATAGATTGGAATGCAGCTGACCTCAATTTCAGACCTCTTGGCTTTTATAGAAAGGGGTAAACACTTCCGTATAAGGGCAAGAAAACTCTGATTGGTACATATATGGAGAGGAGAGGGATTTTGTACAAGCTCAGCTTTTTTTCCACATGTAAGTATGTACATACAAAGGTATTTCTGGATGGCCATCTCCTACAGGCTGGCTGAGCAGGTACCCAAAGGTCAGGCAAGCTTAGGCTAACTTCGCACCATGAAAAAGTCATTGGTTTTGTTTTCATGATTTAAATTCAGATGCTTTGCTGTACTATGAGCATGGTATATTAATTCAACCGGCTATTATTAGTGCAATACTCTACATTTGTTGATTGTATTAATATTTGTTTATTAATGTGGGCACATATGCAGCAATTTCTAAAAAAAGACGAGACCTAAGATACTTGAGGGGTAATGTTTTGCTTTTGCAATTTAAAAGCATAGAAGTCTCCTAATATCAGGAATAGACCCAGATCGTAAGAGTAAGGACATCCATGGAGACCATGGAGACACATACATACACACCTGTGTATACATATACCTATACACACATGCATATATGTGTATGTAAATATGCATGTATATGTGTCATTTTGTGTGCTTATTATACACATATACATACATATACAAGCACGTGTATATGTGTACACATATACATACATGTATATGTATATGGGTACATACATATGTGTGTGTGTATCTCGAAGGAACTGACTGTCAGAAATTATTCCTGTCAGACTTGTCCATACTCTGAGGATGAGGAACTGCTTAAAGAGATAGAAACCCTTCTAATCAGAAAAGGTGATGTGGTTTGGGGTTGCTGAGAACCTGGAAATGTCAGGGTACAGGGTAAGCCTGCCTGGAAAGAATTCAAACACTCTATTCCCTATGGGTCTATTTTGCTTAAGAGGCAATGAAGTGGCTCAGTGGATAGAGTGCTGGGCCTGGAGTAGGAAGACCTGAGTTCAAATTTGACTTCAGATACTTACTAGCTGTGTGACTCTGGATAAGCTACAGTCTCTGTTTGCCTTAAATCCACCAGAGAAAAAAATGGCAAACCAGTCTAGTATTTTTGGCAAGAAAATCCCATGGACTGCATGGTCCACAAGGTCATGAAGAGTTTTACATGGCTGATGACTGAACAACTATTCCACCTGGACTCATAGACCTTGGCAGAGATAAAGGTAAAAATTGAAAATGTATATTGCAATTCTGCCTGGATAGTGAATCTCAAGTGACCATCATTTTCCATTATTTTATGACATTTATTTCTATGATAAGGCTGTTGAACTTAGTGGTTTGAGTGATAAAGACTATCCATACCTAGGATACATCTGATGAGGTTGAAGTTTCCTAAGGAAGCTGTTGGTGTCAACAGAAAAGTGGATACTCTGACTCTGGTATATCCAAACCCTCCAAAACTCATTGAAGCATCATCACTAATTGGGATTAATTCTAGTCTTTTCAAAATTCTAGCAGGTAACAATCTGGAACCCAATACCTGCACACTTTGACCACCCATGCAGACTGTGCAGGAGCTTACAAGAGGATGGAGACAAGTGTTCCCGGTGAACACCACGAGAGCCCCAGCAGTTCACCCTTTGAACTGGATCCTGAGATATTTGACCTTGAGGACTCCCAGTACCTCAAAAGTAGAAGGATAGATTGAGGCTGGGACTCAGCAAGAAGAAAGGTATGTTCTCATTGCATGAATGGGACATGGGATGTGCTTGAGGTACAATCCACAGAATCTAGCTCACAGATTCCTGACCATTCAGAGAAAGATCTAGGATTCCTCCTGTAGGGTTTTAAATTGTTCAACTTACAATAAAAGAGACTGAGGCAGAGCTCTGAGCCAACAGCACTTTGTTAAAGGGTCAATGGTCCCTTCTAATGATGTGGACCTCAGATCTTCCTTACAATCTGAGATGTCCCCTTCCTCCATGGTCTTATTTGTTTTTTTCTTCTTTTTTCTTTTTTAAAATTTTTTTTATTAATTTATTTTATCAATAATCACTTCTATATGCTTTTGAGTTTAAAATTTATCTCCCCCTTCCTCCCCACCACCCTCCTCAAGACGAGGCACAATCTGATATAGGCTATACATTTGCATTCCTATTAAACATATTTTCACATTAGTGATGTTGTAAGTAAAAATTAAAACCAATAGGAGGAACCATCAGAAAGAGGAAACAAAACTCAACAGAAGAGGGAAAGAAATAGCAATTCAACTTCCATAGTTCTTTCTTTAGATGTGGATAGCATTTTACGTCTTAGATATGTCTTAGATCCTTGTATTGCTGGGAAGGGTTAAGTTTATCAATATTAGTCATCGAACAACATGGCTGTTATCGTGTACGACGTTCTCTTGGTTCTGCTCACTTCATGGCCTTATTTTTATAAGATTTGATACTAGGTTTGATACCCGAACACTCTAAAGGGGCTACACAAAATCCCATTGGTTGACAGACCTTACTCCGACGACTGAAAATGATGTTTCAGCCAAAAAAATTGTGTATCAGCAGGAGAGCCTCTTGTTGGTCAAAGCATGGGGTATCTCCACTGACTAAGTGGTCATAAAATGGTCATCTGCTCATGTTGGACAAGAGAGAATGATCCCGAGGCACCAAATAAGATGAGAGACTTTCCCAAGGCATTCCCCCACGTTGGTTTTGGACATGGAATTTGAGCAAAACAGTATGAAGATGTCTTTATCAGCATTCTTGTGGTGGTGCAAGTGAGCTTCATAACTGGTAAACCAGTAGTGAACATTACATTAAAGTTTGAGGCCTACTATAAGAACCTATTTTATCTAATTATTCCTATATGATTTATGTAAACTATCAAAATGATCAACACTGATTGGAATAGGGTGAGGGTCCTAATGAATCACACTCTATGATGGAGGCACTCAGAAACCATTTCAGAGAAAGGCTGATTAAGCACATCATCATAGAATACAGCAACCCTTATATAGGGGTCACCTACATAAATACCTAGAGCATGCTTGATGAGGGGATTAGTAGGAACTAGATGGGCTTTGTGACAATATTCCACTGCAGAATAAGCCCCAAACTAACTGAAAGATGAAGAGAATGCAAATCCTTACAAGAATTCTTTTTTTCATTCATCTTTGTTCATTTTTCCTTTCGTATTGTTTTACTTTGTGTGTCCTCTCTGCTTTTTGTTTGGCATGATTTCATGAAATTCTTTTAAAAATTCTTTGTAACTTAACCCTGATTACCTTTTTTAAAAAAAATTTCTTTGTATTCTTTTTCTTTTTCTTTAGTGAGGCACTGGGGGTTAAGTGACTTGCCTAGGGTCACTCAGCTGGTACATGTCAAGTGTCTGAGGCTGAATTTGAACACAGGTCCTCCTGACTCCAAGGTCAGAGCTCTATCCACTGTGCCACTTAGCTGCCCCAATTTCTTTGTATTCTTTTAAAATATTTCTTTATATTCTTCATACTCGTAAATCTTAATTACATCATAGTATTCCATTACGTCAGTGTACTATAATTTATTTAACCACTCCCTTTATTGTTAGACATTTAGATTGTATCTAGTTTTTTTTCTTCCAGTTATATAAAATGTTCCTATATGTCTTTAAATAGCTCTTTTTTTGTTTTTGATAACTTTGAGGGTATATTGCCAACAGTTATTACAAGCAGATTACATGGTAATTGTATTACTAGATATGATTATTTTTGTAACTTTTATTGTGTACTGCCAGATTGCTCTCCAAAACGATCTTACAAGTTTGCATTTCCTTAAGCGATCAGTGAATGTGGTAAGAGCTTATAAAAACACATGAGAAAGCAAATGGAGAGAGGGAAAGAGAAAACTGAGTTAACTGAAATATCATTGCAGTGCATATTACTACCATCTTTTCAGTCAAGGTTTGTGAAATTCCTAGTTGGGGAGAAGGGAAGCACCTCCTTTGTTATAGTTATTACATTCAACTTTCAATTATTCAGAGAACTGTAGGAAAGCCTCAAGCAAGGATTTTACCTAGTATCACCAAACATTAATTAAGAGAACATACAAGTAGCTTCATGTAACCTGCTAGTTGAACTCTATTCAATAGAGTGGCATAAATTCAAGTAGAAAAACCATGCAATACAGTAAAAAGGGGAAAATGTAAATGGATGATTCACACTCCTAAAAAATGTAAAATACTTTAAGTGTGGAGGTATTTCACAGTTTTCCAGGATATTCCTAACTTTGAGTAAAGAAAGCATATGAGGCTTTTTTAAAAAATAAGGCTTTCCAAAGGAATATCCCTTGTCAAAGCAGGCATACTCATTTGTAGCACATTAAATGCTAGTGGTGTGAGTAGGAAAGGAGAGAATTGATTGCCAATCAATACCAGGCATAGAAGGATTTGAATTTTTCCCTTTCTGTGTTCACTCTCTGGTAGAGATGCTAAAGAATTCTACTATGTTCCTAAAGCTGTCAAAGCAAGATGGAGATGGAAAGGCCTAGATAAAACATAAAGTAGATTATCCCTCCCTGCATTGTTGGGAATTGATTGTAGCTTATATACATTTGTTCTGTTTTGCTGTTGTTCTTCAGTCATGTTTGATTCTTCGTGATCCCATTTGGGGTTTTCTTGGCAAAGATACTAGAGTGGTTTGCCATTTCCTTCTCCAGCTCATTTTACAGATGAGGAAACTGAGGCAAACAGTGACGTGACTCACCCAGGGTTTCACAGATAGTAAGTATCTGAGGCCAGATTTGAACTCTGGGAGATGAGTCTTCCTAACTCTAGCACCAGCACTTTGTCCACTGTGCCATCCACCTGCCCCTTGCTCTATTTAAGGACAGTTCTATACAACCCAAACAAAATGGGAGAATGACTTAGAAACAGCATAGAACCGTGGAAGGAATGCTAGATTTGGAGTCAGAAAAACTTGATTTTATTTTTAATAACTGCTTATAAGTAAAGACTGTAATCAAGTCACTTAACCTCTCTGGGCCTCAGTTTCTTCATCTGTAAAATGAGGCATTGAGCTAGATGACCTCTAATGTCTTTTCTAGTTCTTAGTCCATGATCCTAATTATCCCATGATTTGGGGCAGAGTAAACAGACAATCTGGGTGAATTCCAAATTAAAAGTGTTTTAATTTTTTTCAATCATATTAGATAACGTATAAATAAAAATGTTAAGGAGCTTTCCCTTAGTCCAGGGGTGGGGAACTTGCACCCTAGAGGCCACATGTGACTTTCTAGGTCTTTGGGTGTGTGGCCTTTTGACTGAGTCCAAGTTTTACAGAATAAATCCTTTTATTAAGGGGATTTGTTCTGTGAAGTTTGGATTCAGTCAAAGGGCCACACTTGAGGACCTAGAGGGCCACATGTGGCCTCAAGGCTTGCAGGTTCCCCGCCCTTGCACTCGTCCCATAACATGGTATGAAGAAGTTCATTGATCAACTTGAAAAGAGGATAGACCCTTGTCCACTGAATGAAAGCAACTGACACCACACAAGTAACATCTAGTGACTGGCTGCATCAGTTATGTTCCTTGGGTAGACCCAAATGATAAAATAACCCAATCAGCTCTGGGAGGAGTCAGTTCTGGAAGTTTAGGAAGAAGCCAGCATTCAGAGAAGAACCCAGCTCTTCAGTCTCCTTCCCTGCTATCAGCCATAGCATTTAGCAGTGGAACTACTCGCCTAGAGGGAAACACTGGATCCTTCAGGTAGGCAGTCAGTTTGAGAAAGTTCAAGGCATAGTTGAGAAAGCAGATGTACACTCATCAGACCGAAGTGGATACAGAGGGTCAGCCAATTGGCTCTGGAAGCAGTTTCGAGGACCGTTATCTCTGGCAGCAGAGAAAAAGAGTTGGCCACGTACTCAAGAGAGCTTGCCCTAGCAATGGAGAGTTGAACTATAGAGATGATTCCCCTCAGAGGAAAAGGACTTTCAGGCCCTTCAGAAGACCCTAAAGAGAAATTAAGCCAGGGTGCTAAGTCTGAGTGGAATTCTTCATATATGACAAAGGAAGAGAAGATATAATTGAAGCACTTCACAATTCTGATCACCTAATGAAATCTGATCCAACCTTCCTTTTTAAACTCTCATAACCCGAATGTAAGTGGTCACTCAATAAAGTTAATGGCTGGAAAATTTGAAACCAATAAAAGTTATCATTTCATATGGCATGTAGTTTTATTGTGTGATTCATTCACTGTGTGAGACTCAGGATTAAAAACCATGAAGAAATATGGGGTTCTAAAATGAGTTAATTTGATGAAAAATATTCCACCTTACGATAGCGGGTCACAATCATTATATAGGACCAGAAGAGAGAAAGGAAATCCAAGAGCCATATAACAGCCCTACCAATTGAGGGTTTCAGATCAATTTTACTTTTCTGGTTTGTAGACAGAGGTGGGCTCAGGTTAAGGAAGGAAAGGAAGGCATCAGAGAAGGGTAGGACTTTTGAAGGTGAATAGAAGAAAGAATAAAATGGAGGACCAGAAGAGAGTCCACTTACAAAAATCCTCCAGACTCTTACCTACCCTCATTCTAATAGAGAGGCTGAATGCCCTTATCACTATATAGATATAGATATAGATATAGATATGGAAAGACAGTAAATGTAGCAAAATAAGCTGATGAACAGTAAAGGATTGGCAATCATGGCAGTAAGAAGAAGAGAATTAGAGTACCAGAAGCAGAGCTGGAGTAG